ATTACTCGTTTAAACTTGATTATGTAAAAGTCATTAACCAGTAAGCAAATTCTTCAATTAGATTCACTGTTAATTCAGTGTTGAATCTTGTTTTTGTTTTTAATTAATTTAATGACTTTTAATTTTTTTTTGTATCATTTTCCATCGAATATCGATTAACTATAATCAATATATCTCTAATTCTTTTTTATTATTTAAGTCTTTTGATTTTGATTATCTTTATTTTCTTTTCAATAGAATTTATTGTGATTATATATGATCGAGAACTTTTCATGTAATAATGTATTTTCATATTCTGATATTCAGTATATCCTACCGTGTCATTTATATATTCTACACTTCAGTTATTTAGAAAATATTCCAATTAATTGTAAATAGTAACAATCTCATGAATTCTCTTAGTGATAACCTAGAATATTGAAGATCAATTCAAATTTTGTATTTCTGCCTTATATAATTAATTTGTTAATATATCATTGAGCACGAATAATTAAACTATATACTTAACATAAGACTCTTTCTATATCATTCTTCTTAAAAAAAAAATGTTGTTTCACATACTAATTTGCTTTTATATTTCTATGAGTAAGGATATCATTACGTTGAATTTTGAAACTCTTTGACAATCAAATTTTTATCAGTATTTCAAACAACACTAAGTAAATATATGATAAACCGAAGAAGAAACTTGTCTATAACGACTAGTAGTAGTTGGAAATTATTCTATTCTTTGTTTTGAAAAAAGCAATAATCTGACAGCCAGACAGTTGCTCATGTATGTGGATGGGAATGAACGAAAGATGATATTGTCTGTGTTTCTTTTTGCTCTATTTTTTTAAAATTGAGCTATATATACAATGAATAAAAATCAAAATAGAGTTTTTCAGATTATTCTATGAACTAATTGATGTTTCTTTATTATGTCGTGTTGAATGAGATATTGATGATGCGGATGTATTATTCATAAGAAAATCCAATGTCTCAACAGTAAATAATTGTTTAAAATTTGGTTCGCGAGTTAGAATATTAATTATATTATCATCAAGTTTTTCTCCTTCGTCTATTTGTTGTTGTTGTTGTTGTTGTTTTTCTTGTTCCATTAAATATTGTTTATAACCATAATTCATTTCAAATGGCTCACTATCATAATCTTCAATTGTACCACCTTCAATCGCTATCCGAACATTAGTTAAAAATTCTTTTTCATCTATTGAAACATTTGATGTTAATGGATCATCAGGATTAGGTGAATGAAACAGAAACATAAGACCTTGTAAAAGATCTTCAAATGTTGAATTAACTCCACCATCCCAATCATTTAGTGTCGAAACACATACATTATTATAACGATTTTGATATGTTGTATCAATATTTGGATGATATAGACGTGTTAAACAGGAAACAGTTGGTTGACATTCAGGATAATCACTATCGGTAGAAGCTTCAATACGAAAAACAAATGAACCATGAGCATATGGTCCATCACGTGGTGTTATTTCAATATAAAATGCTTGACTATTGTTAGAATCATCACAATCTGACGAAGTATCAGATAAAAAGGAAGCACGAGATATAGAATTTGAATGATTAAATATATTATCACAACTAGCACGAGCTTGACCAGCCGATAATGAATCAATTTGACGACATAATTGACGAAAATCTTTTTCGAATCGAGCCATTAGAAATCTACAATAAAACAAAACAAATAATATCAATGCAGATCAAAACTTAAGATAATTGAAAACCATATAAATCATATATCGAAAGAAATAGAGTGTATAGATGACAGAGTAGGATGAGTTCTTTTGAACTAACTGTATCATATATCTAAGCAATTAAATATGTAGAAGTTGCAACATGACATAAAAAACATGAAAAGACATTTCTTTAAAATTTTTTCTATATGCTTCATCTTTCATAGTATCTCCTATTTCTTCAATCTTCACAATGTTTGACACTATTGTGGATAAATAGATATTTTGGTGTAACTTCGATATGACATATATACATATGTAGGATACTTCAAAATAGACTCAAGAAGAAAAACATGGAAAAGTCTTATGAATTGGTCAACTAAAAACCGAAATTCCAGAATTTGGAAAATTATTTTCACCAATAAAGAATTCAATCTCGCTTAAAAAATTATCATGGATTTTCTTTTATTTTTTTTTCTACTGTTTTTTTTTTATCTCTCGTCATTTTGCCTGTGTGATAAACTCCGCCTCCTGATTATTCCCTTATATATACCATTATTTAACTACTGTAATACTTACGTTAGATTTCAAGTACACAATCATAAAAAAAAACTCAAAATATCGAGTGAAGAAGAGATATAGATTTTTAAAACTCAAGTCATGACCAATGAAAACTTCGTCATCAATGACAAATCCATACTATCATATGAATCATTGATTAAAGAAAAAGAAAGAAACAACTGATAAATATTTATTTTATATTAAAATAAAAATGTAGTTTTCTACCTTAATACTTATGAAATTACAATTTTATTTTTTAGTCTTAATATCGAAGAATAATCTTCTCAATATTATTTTCATGAACTAAACATTGTTAAAGTTGGAAAAAAATAATCATTTATTTTCAATAATAAAGCATAGCAACACATACTTTATATTTCTGCTGTTGTTGTTATATATTTGTGTTTGCCTTCGATTCCTTTTTTCTTCAATTCTTATTACTGACGACAGTCGTAAGAAAAAATGTGTTCAAGAAATGAATGTATGAGTGTTTGCAACAAGAACACTGTGAATTTACATTATGCTTTCTCGTTAATATTGAGTCATGGTGTTTTTCTTGTCATATATATATTTTTTAAAAGAGAAAAAATTTCACAATTTTCATGAAGATATGATGCAATAACATTCGACATCATCATGTGCTTATTTTTCCTTCTGTTTATTGCTGATGAAACAGCAAGGAAGAAAAAAAAAACCTATGCGTATGATTATTATTGTTGTATCCATACCCAAATATGGAAATATTGAAACTAGGACCGTAATTAGAAGTTCAAAAACATTTGAGTTGATTTTTATTTTACCTTGTTCTTTGTTAAATAATAATAATTGAAATCGATACACTTGAATAATATTCTGCAAGAAAAAACATTGTTCATTATTATTTTGACATAGACTTCTATCGAATATCCTAATACTAGATAGTGTGCCAAGGTAAAATCTAACGTTTAGAATATCTCTATTTCAAATTAATATAAAATTGAAAGTTTTAGTATGTATGTTATTCAATCAACCGATCATTTTTGTTATGCAAAAAATTTTTCTCTAATGGTTTCTTTGTATTGAAAAGTTCCTTTCAATAGGTAACGTTTTCAAAATTAGGAAGCTTAATTTCACCAACAACGATCTAGATTTGGTTATCAATTTACATGTGTTAGAATCATTTTTTGAAAGTACTATCTAATGATAAGATATGGAAAACTCTAAAACCAAAGCTGGTTGCTAAGTAGAAGGATTTTCGTTTTGCTTCACAAACTTTTGGAATTTCGACGGGAAAAATTATGGATTCTGGACAGCAATAAACTTCACACTTGAGATTGTGCTAATATAGACTTTAGGATTCTCCAAAATCTTATAAGAAAAATGAAAATCCATTTCCAAATCCTTCTACTTAACTATCGGCTTTGCTTTTAGACTATTCCGAGTTGTACAAGTGAAAAGTACTTTCAAGAATGATTCTAACATGTGTACAATTGACAGTTAAAAATAGTTAGTTCTTTGTCGGGGAAACTAAGCTTCCTAAATTTCTAAAATGCTGCCCTTTTAACTTACTTTTCAATATGGAGATAGTGCCAGAGAATTTTTTTGCGTAATAAAATGGTCGTTTAATTGAGTAATATGTACTCTAAAAGTATCAGTTTTTTATCAGTTTTCAAAGGAGAAAACCAAGAAGTCAGATGTTGACTCGGAATAAACCCCTCCCCATAATAGAAGCTCCTCCTATATTAGAAGCCCTCCCCTATTAGAAGCCCCCTCCGGAAGGCTCGATATGAAAGATGTATTAGAAGCCCCCCCTTATTTTACAAACTTTTTGAAAGTTTTTACTGATATTTTGATCTGAAGCCCATCAAAATTCAAGTTCTTAAGGTAGTAATATGTTTGATTTTCTTATTTTCCAGCGTAAAAATCTCGAAATCTTCTGGAAAATCGTTCGAAAAACCCTAAAAATCCCTGAAATTCTTTGAAACTTTTTTTTATGTAAAACTATTGAAAAATTTAGGACGTAATAGAAGCCCCTTCCGAAAATTTTGGATGATGGACAGTTTAGAAGCCCCCGGGGGCTTCTAATATGGGGAGAGGTTTACTTCTATTACTGATAGTGAAAATCATCACCACATCATTTCAAAACTTCTTAAAGATAATTGTTTTAGATCAGGATTTCTAATTGTATCGGTTATAGTTGAGAAAGTTTTGTCACATTCGGACGAAGTAAATAAGTCATTGTGATACGTTTCCAATAGAATTACTCATTCACACATGATGATAATTAAATGATGAATGCATTCTTGAATTTATTTACACCCTAAGCTGCCGCAATAGTTCTCTATGAATATTAATGATTGGATGTAGTAAATCAAAATATCATTAGCCATCATCATTATTCAATATTTATCATATAATCGGCTATCTACCAAAAATATAAGATTTGATATCATTAAGAACATTGATAAACTTATTCCAACCATTTAAATTTTGACAAAGCCTTAGAAATATTTTCAAACTATCTCAACCTTGTTGTTAATCCTGTTTGACAGTCTTTTTCTATTGCTAACTAAATCCTATTGTGAGTGTCTTTACTAGTGTGTCAATCATTGTCAATAACGTTGAAATTATCGTCACTATTTGATCCAGATCGCTATGCAGGATGTTAGAAAGCCTAGCTCTATAACTTACACTCTGTCCACAGAATACAAGTCCACTTTATACAAACTCTGACAATTAAAAACAAATCCAAAGAAGGAAATAATTGTTCTTGAAAGTATCTCATATCTTTATTCGTTGTCATACATCGACAATTATATAGTGAAAGAAAATTTCTTTTCTTTTTATTCTACAAAGATTTGCAATGCGCTACAGTATCATGCGAAGATTTTTAATAATCTTATTACTGCATTAAAATATGATGTAAATAAAATTTCTTCTCGAATGGATGAGAAAAATTTATGATCATTACAGTGGCTGATGCGAACAAGTCAAAACAAGTTTGGTTCATGTTCAATAAGTTCAGACAACGAAATCATTGAAGTTATCATCAAAAGCCTTAATGATACCATGGATATGTCAAATTTTAAGAATGGCATGAATGATAAGGAGAAAAATAAGATGCAACAACCGAATTTTGTGAAAGAAGTCAAAACTGGTAGTTTGAACAAACAAGTAAAAGCTTTAACATAAACTATATTCCGTTTCATTTGACAAAAATGATTAAAAACTTTTGCAGCTAACAGATAAGAAATGTGTTAAATTTTCTTAATATACTTCTTTTATTATTGATACATTACATTGCTATCTCTGCTTTAATTTCACCATGCATGTAAACATATTTAACGATTTATTCCATATGAAAATAATAATTAATTATTTATTTCAAAAAAAAATAGCTTAAGACACAGTGCATAATGAATAAAATTAAAAAATGCACTAAATAGATTATGAAATAGTTTTTTAAAATAATACTTGGCAAAAAAATTGTCTTCCAAGCGACCTTACATTCGTTTATCAACTATACTATCGATAAATAGTTGTCGGCTAGTAAAGAAAACAATTAGCTTTCGATTGAAATAGAATATCTATATGAGCTTATTGAATACAAAAAAAAAGTAGTAGTCTCATCGTTTTATTATTCTCGAATAATGAGAACTCCTCCTGGTGTAATGGTTTCTGATCTATTTGAAGAAATACCATCAAATTTTACTGTTTTATTTTTTGGGTGAGTGTTTCTTAGGACACTTTTAGATTTTTCTTGACATTCAGTTCTATTAGACATCGAAATTGCATAAGTAGGATTACGAATAATGGAAATTAAAGTACATGGTGTTGATTCTTCAAAATTTAATTTAGAATGAGCAATTCGTTGATGTTTCGTAAGATCAATAATTAATCCATGAATACTATTTTGTTTATCAATAGTAACAGGAAATAGTGGCATTTGCTTTAATTCTTGTAAGATCGTTGCCCATTTTCGTATATCATCTTCATTGAAAGATTTGATACTATTACGTGCTTCACGTAATTTTGGTGTCAACATATCTAATTTATTTTTTATTTCAAATACATGTTGATCTAAAGCATCAATAAGTGCTCGTCGAGCAAGAACAGCCGTACGTCGAATACATGCTATACTTTCTTGTTCCCATCTATCAATAACAGTCATTGAAGGATGATATTTTGGTGTTAAAATTTGTTCTAAAAGATCTTGTCGTAAATCATCATGATCAACAGTTAACCAATCAAGTTGTTCGTCAAGAGATCTTTGATGTTGGTCAACGTTTTGCTGATAATATGTTTGATAAGTAGGATTAGATTTAGAAGTTCCAACTTCATTACATTCAGTAGTAATCTTTGATGAAGATAAGGCCATAGTGAATAAAATATATGTGTGATTATGAAACAGCTGAAATAGAATAACATATAAAAAATGATTTAAACAAAAAATAAGAAGGTAAAAAGAACAACGTAATAATAATATACTATAATTATAATGAAGTTGTTTATTATATCACAAGATGTATAAAATGATAAATACTAAGTCAATATGTAGTAATTGAGAAAACGAAAAGAATCATTGGCATATAATATCTATATGTTTCATGTTTATGTTAGAAGATAATTAAAAAAAAATGAAAAAGAAAAATCGTTTCAAGATGTTAATAAACAATTAACCTCCTTAATATATAGATTCGTTTCGACCAAACAAATCAACTTTAATCTCAAGCTTAAAGAAGATCCTAGATTGTATCAGCATTTTATTTAAAAGAACCAAACTACAATTGAAGGTTGCGTGCGTATAAATTACAAATATTTGTTCTGAATCTTATGTGTATTATATGATTTCAGCTAAAAAACGACTGACATTCCTGCACTATTCTTTTTTTCTATATTTGATGGAATCACTCATTATAAAGAAAAATATTTGTGTTCTTGACAGAAACATCGTAAATAGATATCTTATAATCATGAGTTTTGAAATGTATCGTGATCGATGCGTGTTTTTTTTTTTTACAATGGGCAATATAATAGAGTTTTGTTAGATTGAAGTACAGTAATTAGAGGTATGTGGTATCAGACAAAATATGATGTAGATATATTTCACATGCGACTTACTTTTTCAGTATTGTTATTGTGATTCTTTTTATTTTCTCTGACTTTTTCAAATGATTCGAGTTGTAAGGTTTATACGCGTGATGTTATGAAAGAAATGCTATTTATACTATAAATACACGTGCTCTATGTTAAGTATTACTTCGTCCTTTATGATTCATATTTTTTTTTTCTCATTGATGCAAAAAAATTCTTTTCTTTTTTTTAATAATTATGCGAACGCTGTATATATATGCGATTTTTATTTTGTGCTTCCTTTCTTTTTCCTTCAAGGCTAGACAAGAAAAGAGAATGATTGACTACATGGTATTTTCATTACTTTATTGATATTCTGTATGCCCAGAAGAAACAGTAAACTGAAAATGTTAATTTAAAAATAGGGTAATCGTAGTTAATATATTTGTATTTCATGAAAATATCTCCTGAAAAAAAATAAATTATTGTTTATGATGCTCAAAAACTTTTTTGTTTGAAAAAAACAAACAAATATAATAGTAATGAAGTACTTTCGTTAGAAAACTGTTGTTTTTTTTTATTTGAATAAGATCATTTGAAACTTAAACCTGATATGAATTTTGGTGCCTCATAGAATAGAATATAATGAATATTAAATACAGAAGATGCCAAGTACTATGAATAAGTTTGATAAGATTGATAAAATCAAATCGAATGCATTTCATATTATGTGACTACATAACAGGTGTTATTATCATGGTCATAGAAGAGAAGAGGAAAAGAATGCATAATGATGATTATTTAAGTAGAACTATCGAGTATTAACTACTAACAATAATTTATTAATAATAAATTGTTGAAGACATGATTCCATTTATATTGATTTGAAGTTATGTTAGCTTTATTACGGTTTACATAAGTGTGTTCATGAAAAAAAAATGTTATTTTTCGTTCTGCTTTCTAAATGTCATTATTGATCATGATTGTGAATCAGTTATTTTTACAAAAGCTTAAGCTCTCATCTGCGAATCAAAGTATAACTGACTAGAAAATAATTGAATTTGTCATATATACATATATATGAAATATGTCAAGAATATAATGAAGTCTGTTTTATTTTATTTTATGATTTAACCAGTTTTTATTATGGGATTAAGCAGGCAGCGTGGCCGAGCGGTCTAAGGCGCCGGTTTAAGGCACCGGTCCGAAAGGGCGTGAGTTCGAATCTCACCGCTGTCACTATATTTTTTTTCATACTTCTGAAATCCAACATCTAATTTTACCGATGTTTGAAAATCATTATGAAAGAGTTTTGCTTTTTTTTCCCAGTCTGTATTGTATTTTTAGCAGAAATTCAGTGCTAATTGTTTTGTTTACCTATAACAGTGAGACTAATACATGCTATATTGATGAACAATTTGTCTCATTTTTGTTATCTTTCTTTCGAGCAATAAAACCGAAATCAACTATAATTGAAATTCTGCAATAACATGTCTTTTAATTTTTATAATAGTTCAATTCTAAAAGATAAATCAAAAAATTCTAAACATTTTGCGTTCGAATTTAGTAAAGTATAAATAAATACAACTGATTTTGTCGATAAAAATGCCTTATAAAAGTCAATGTCTTTCGGCTGGCAAAAACATTTCATAAAATTATTCTGTATGTTGCATTCAGCAAGACATCATAGGCCGAAGAATGATTAGATATTTCAAACCGTCCAGTAACTTTTGATAGTAAATGTACAAAAGAAAAACAAAAGAAGCTTAGTGTGAATGAATTCGTATAAAGAACAATGTAAAATAACTAGAAATATAGATTGTTTTTTATTACTTAAGAAAACATTTCTTCTCTTGATATGCTCTTGATGTGTTATAAATTAACCAACTATATCACATAATAATCGTATAAAAAAATTAAAAACATTTAAAAATCAAAAATAAACATTTCAATTCATTAAATAAATTATCAGCGAACAAAAATATCGAAATTCACCTACACAACAAACGAACAAAATGTTTAGATTACGACTCAGACGTTTTTTTAGAAGGTTTTTTTTCTAATGTATCCGTCCTTACTGAAACAATGAAAAGATCACCAGATAAAAAATTGATTATGCTCTGTCTAGTGAAATAGGTGCTTCAGATAGTCTTAATGACATTGAGAACATCTATATTATCCTATATATTCATCGACATTGGTGACGATGGTACCACAGTAATTAGACGAGATTTTTACTCAAGGGGAAAAGATAGAAGCAGATGCAATCGCCTAGTATCAATATGACTTCAATATCTTTTCAATGTTTGGAAAGACGTTTACTATCGTTGGGTGGCATCCTTCTTATAGCAGTGGCTTTTCGAAAGTCTACCACAGTAGTTACGAAAAATGGAAGAGATTTTGAAAGAATTTCAGGAACCTAAATACATGAATATATATTCAAATATATATCAAAGAAAAATGAAATATCCTTTTTAGCTCAAAGGTAAAAGGCTGAGAGAAGAATCCTAACTAAAATGTAAACATACCTCTTGAAACTAATTGGTTCTCGCATTGGAGTCTCATTATGAGTTCATGCTAGAGCTTTCTCGTCTCGTTGTGGTTGTTTGAAATGAGAAAATGACCAGAATCAAATATAAACACAGGCTTATATAAATCTTTTTAAATATAGGACATAAATTAATAGATACCGTTTGAGACAATATATGTGATCCATAAGACTATCAGTTTTTGAAAACAAAAATAAAACGACAATAGCAGCAGATCTGCTATATAATGGGGCATACGGCAAAGTTTATTTTCAGTATACAAATGGTAAACGTGGCTGAATCACAGCATAAATAAAGCTTCTTTTATATCAAAGAAACTAATAAATCAAAAATAAGAGAGTCTACTTATGGTTCTTCCTGTTTCAAGCCAATGAAAATATAACGTTCAAAACTTAAGCCTTACTTCAAGAAAAACTACGCTTCCACACACTGATATACTGTGAAATATTTTCCGACACTAGTCGACTTTAATATAAATCCGTTTGTAATAAATAATATTTTTGAATAAAATTTTGGAATTTAAAAACTATGTTTATTACAACAAACGAACAATTTTGGTATTACACGTTGCTGATGATAGACAAAGAATTTGTCCGAAATATACAATTTCAATATCAACTCAATAAAAAGATAAAATGAATATTTTATTTTCGTTTGTCTTTTACTTCTATTTATATTTACATGTTGTTCTTTTATTGTAATAATAAACAATACTAATCTAATCTGATTTCAACATCGCTAACCTAAGACTTTTACTCTCCGAAATCGTTATCAAGATTTGCCAGACAAAAATGAAATACAAATTTTTGAGTGAGAAATCAGAATAAATCAAGAATTAACTCACTTAAATACTTATGCATACCAGTGTGGAACAGTGTGTATCTATATGATTATTTCTACAATAGTTCTATGAAACACAATTTTGCCGATGACCTTGATAGCCTTCAGAAGTTGAACAGAGTATCTCTTCAAAAGCTTCAAACCTGCCTATTTTTTGCGTCGTCGATTTTACAGTATGTCTGAGTAAAGACAACGATCATACTAATTATATAAATAAACTCTTGTCAATCAGGTGTCATGCTATTATGAGGTGTGAGGACATAGGATGAAGAGAATCTACCCACTCATACGAGCAATTCCAATGTGTTTGTGTGCTCAATATCCTCATATGATTTATTTCAAATTTAATCTCAATATGATAGATGATTGTGGCGGTTTCGAATTAGTATGAAAACTAATATGCAAGCATTCAAAATTATCCGACTTCTCTAACACTGCTACATCAAAAATGTCATTATCTTATTATGGAATAATATATCAACTGAACATCAATTAGTCTGAATCTTTCTTTTGATACTATTTTTTTCTTAACGAACTCAATCGAAACGAATAAACATCGAACATCAATCTCTATCTATAAACGTAGCTCATCCTACGACTAATAGACATGTTTATTTCAGGTATACCAAATACTTTTCTTTCAACTATTACATACAAACAAAGAAGTTCGTGTGCAATCCGATCCGTCTGATATTCTGTTCCTATTCCAATTTACTGGTCACTTCTTATGAGGGCGTTTTCATTCGATCATAGTCTACATGACTTTCAAGCCTGTCAACTGTGAGTCAAGTGCGTTTCCACAATAAGCTTTGTCTGTTTTTGGAGATGAGACAACACCATGTCTAGTAATTGAACGAATATTGACTATTGATTTATTTGTGAAGTTTAAAAAAAGTCAACAGTCAACAAATATTGTGTCGAGTCATTTTGCGTTAACTATGTTCAGATAAAACAATTATGAAAAGAATAGTGATGATTTGGATCGAAAACGGCATAGAACATAGTGCATGACAATGAATGTTGAATGGCTGATAAGAACCAAATAATTGTCAAAGTTTCTTTCAGTGATACGTGACTCAATACATGCATGTTAAATGGTTGTGTCATAGACGATGTCATGCAATTATACAGTGAGAAGTAAAGCTGATGTATAAAAGTTTACTCAAATGAGTGGTCATGGGTCTTTGAGAGTATTTCACTTAGCAAGTCTACTTTTTCTCAAAATTCTATCGACCGATAGCTATTTCAAGACTTGTCTTCTATCATTTTCTTGATTACCCTCAATTTTGAGTCATCATTGCGTTTATTTTGAATATACCTCCTCTCTCAGTAGAACATTCATTTAGAGGAACGATGATTTCAACGTAATAAAAACGATTTTTAAGCGAAAAATCTGAAAAATCTGAGGTAAACATTATTTCTGAACTGCTAAGTGTCTAAAAAATATCTTCTGAAATCCTCAAAATGGTTGTAGCTTTCTGAAAACTCTTTTAATTAAAAGTTACGGACATCAATGTGACCAAATAGCAGACCGTACCTGAAAATGTTCTACTAGTTGATATAATAGAAGACTTGAAGTTTTCTATTTCAGGAAGGTGGATTGCTCTCTTCTATCTCTGCATACAAATGACTGATTTTTTAAAGAACATCTATTAATTGAGGAACTTATAATGTTAAATAACCAGCATTCAAACATCAGTTCGAACACCTTACAGGACTCACTAATTTGATTACCAAGAGCCATTAACACAGGGAGAGTATCGGTAGATGAGCATGCTTAGACCTGTCATGTGTTCAAGTGAGTCGCCGCCAACTTTCTCTCCATCCACTCACGTTGTCAGCATTCATGTAACTCGTTTCAGAGAGCAATAGCAGTTGCCGCTTTGACAATATATTAGATACTACACTTTTGAACATTTTGAGCATTTTAGATCACTTTTCATGCATGTTGTTGTCTATTTTCTACTCAATCAGGTTTATAACATCATTTTCTCATACCTGTATTTGCTTTCCTATTATCTTGGCAACAAGAGAATTAAAAGAAAAGAATCAAAATATTTTCATCGTCACCGGTTGATTACCAAATCGTTCTTGTTTCTACTGCCGAGAGTAAAAAAATTAAAAAATTGGCAACAGGCATCACTGAGAAAGGAAAAATTTTACAATACATTCAACCACACCCGCTCATTGCATCGATTCACATCTCGAATACTAGAAGAGGTTCAAGGGAGTATCTCCATCCTAAACATTCACTCTCATAAGAGAACAACGACATTCGCACATCATGAGATCGTCTTTGACCTTTACACACACACTGCAGTAGCCTCAGGAAAGAATGAGTCATACACCATAGAGTAATCTTCAAGTTTCCAAAACAAAGATGTTGTTCTGCATTTTAAGTGCCGCTTTTTGCATCTTTGTAACTTATGTACTCAAAACGCTCTCTAAAAGAAATAAAAATCACATATTGCGAATAAGTATCATGAGATCTAAATAATTATTTATAATTCATAAAGATCATTTTCTCTCGATTTTTTGCATCAGCGTCATCATATGTAATATAAGAATGTTATAATCTATCTTTTTGATGATCATTCACCCTCTCATTCGTCTAAATCATTGAAAAAGTTGTAGTTTCGTCCATTCTGCTACTTGGAACCAACCAACGATGTCATCATTATGACAATGAAAGAATAGCTTGAATGATCGTCAACCGTATATGTACCAGATAGTGAGAGGGAGATAGAAGATGAAGGCAATTAGAGACTTCTAATAATGTCATCATCTCATTCTGAAATGAATAGGAAAGCATAGAGAATAATCGGATTCTATGCATAAATCAGCTTACTCTGACAGCGTGTTCTCTGTTTGATCAAAACAATTTTGTTGTTGAAACCTGATGACAAAAAAATCTCATAAAGAAAAAGAGTCTCCATTGTCAACCAACTCCATATAAACTTACTATTAACGAAAAATCAATACTACTGTTATTGTACGCTTAGCAACACAATAAATAACTACAATTGTTATTATCAAAGATTCTTCGTCTTAATATTGATGCAACTCATTCTTTTTGGCCTCACGAGTAAACACTATATTAGTTGGCTGCTAGGCGTTTTTTCTTTTCTCTCGCTCGTATATATTTTTTTCTCTTAAAATAGTTTATTCACTTCATCGTTTCATAGCGCAATGATTAAAATGAGACGTCAGCTGTATCTTAGTTACGATTGCTATGTTTTTACTACGTATATAATCGATCGATTCTCATTGCAACTAATAAAACAAGTAAGAAGCGACTCGATCAATAACATAAGCATCACTAGTTATTTTATACAAACTAACAATGAGGTATGTTGAATCGTAGCTTTATCTTATATATCAATAAATTTCATGGTTTATCTATTCTACTAGTCGTCCAGTTACAGTTCAACCTAATGAGAAACTCTTTCCTACAAGCGGACAATGGAGCAATGAGTTATTTCAATCGTGCAGTCCAATATCTGATGGTGAATAGTCAGTCAATTATGCTTTTAAAATTTTACATTCATGATTGTAGGTATTGTATATTGTTTCTGTGGATCATGCTGTGCTGGTCGTTTACATCAACGTACAGGTGAACATTTCTGTTCATGTTTAGTTCCTGGTGCTACACAAGCACTTCGAACAAAGATTCGAATGGCTTATGGTATCAGGGTAAGTATCTATTGATGCTTATTTCTCTAGGAACAAATCATTTATTATCATATTATTTTATAGGGTACACTTGTTAATGACTGGCTTGCATTATGCTGTGGTCCATGTTCATTATTACAAATGAAGAAAGAACTCGATCGTCAGGGTGTACCAGATCCACATGCCTAATAGACAAATCATTAGTACTTTTT